CCCTCCGTAATTTTCATGTATGATTCCTTCCACCACTTGGACTGTCTGTTCGGTGTCCTCGTTACGTCGAATATCGTGTTTTCCAGCCTTAACACGAAGAAGGTTTATAGAAGGAACTGCTTGGACACAGTGCCCGGCTGTTACGATCCAATTTTCGTTTAAGATAGATCCGGCGCAGAAATGCTGAGAGAGGATTTGCAGGGAAACTATGTACGGGTAACCGCCTTTTGGTGCCTCTTCACCACCGACCACTTGAGGCGAGAGAGGGCGAGCAAAAGGTGGCAAGATCGGCGGCATCCGGAGACCTGTTCGGGGTCTCTCTAAAATTAAAATTAATAATGTTATAGAAAATACATTGTTTTGCAACAGTGAAGATTGAATAAAGTTGGTCATAGTACATCAAAAATAAACAAAGCTTTTTATAAAATAAGATTAGAGAAATTTGTAATAATATAATAAAAACAAAAAGTTCTTGTTATTTGCTTCATTGTCCATAAAACGATGCAATAAGTCATTTGTTATTTGTTTAATAAATTTGAGATGTAAAGAGAAATTTTCTATATATTGCTTTAGTGACTATTTGTTAAAAAACGTAACTTAATACAAAGTGCATATATGTTATATAAATTGAAAAAATTGACTTACCGGCGACCGCCACCGCTAGGAGAGCAAAAAACACGATTGCTTTGGAAACCATTTCGCTGTTTAATGTCAATCCAATGGACTGACTGCTTTTATACTCGTTTGGTCGAGTACATCCGATATCAATGATAACAATGCACTGATAATCCATTTTAATCTACTAGAATTCACAATACGTATTTACGATAAGAAAAATATTTTCTACGTGATTGTTCTCATAACTTGATGTATATTCATATAAATATTAAATTAAATCTTACGACACAATTGATTCATATAAACAATGCTACTAGTTTTGTATATTGTACAATATGTTTTGATGAAAATCTACAATATAAAATAGCTTTTACAAATTATATACTTGTACTTTGTAGAACATAGAAATGTATAAATTTCATAAAGAGAATAATTTACATTTATTCATATTTTATATTTAAAAGTAAATTAATTTATTAACGTAATTGGTCTTTTTAACAAAAAAAGTTCATCGATATATCAAGCAAAGATGTCCAAATAAAATAATAGTGTTAAAAAATTATAAATTTTGTAAAGCATATTTTAATTATTTTCATAATGATTATAATAATGATTACATTTGAAATAAACAAAATTAAACAAGAAACAACAAATATAATAACAATAAAAAATATTATTGCAAGAATTAATCTTCCTTTTTATGTGTGATTTGTTTGGATATTTGTTCAAATCGTGATGTTTTAATTTAATATAAAACTTATTTAAAT